GACTGGTCCGCTTTCAATACCTGGGACTTAGTTTAACTTTATTACAAAAATACACCACCACCGCCCCCCAAACAATTTACAGACACTGAAAAAAAGATGTCATTTGTTAAGTTAAAAAAATTCCATAGTCCCAAACAAAGCAAAAGCTGTACTCTAGAAGGCAGGCTTTGAAGATATTTAGGGAGAAAATTCCCTTCTATCTGTGTTCTCCTGGGGCTACACACAATCTGGCCATGCCAGGCACAGGTGTGTCAATGTAAAAAGGTAAGCAAAACGGCACAAACATAAATGCATGAAAGCAAGAAGAATTTTTTAGAACGTTGGTAACCCCTGATTGTTTTAGATATAGCAACTCCTATTTTAGGAGGAAAAGTACTACCACGAAACAGAATTATCATTATAGATACTGAAGAGCTTTTGTATGCCTGCATTTTTATGCAAGATTAAGGGAAGAGTCCTATCGGTTGAATTTTACTACAGTTGCATTACTTTCAATGTTGAAGTGCTTTTTCTAAAGGAAAGCTGTCCGTTTTGGTTTAAAGGATAAACTCCTCCAAGCAACATAAAATAAAGATACAAGATTTCTGTTCTTGAACACTAGGGTCTTCTACATAGAGATTTACACTAGTAATGAGTATGTTCTGCTAGGGTATCATGGCAATACACATTACATAGATACAGAAAGATTAATAAGTATTGCACTTTTTGTAAGCATAAGGCAGTGTGTCTTCAGTATTGTAAAAATTTTAAGGTGTACCAAGCACTGAAATGGGTTAGGAGCACAAAGGGTTTTAGCTCAGTAAGAGAACCTTAAAGCCATCATACCTTCTATTTAATAAGGAATTTATTTTTTAATATATTGACCATCAAATTCAGGAACTGCCATGCTGAAAGAGAAATAATTGACTATGTCAATCTGAATGGATGTTTTTCACGAAAAATTAGAAAAAGAATGTGAAAGTGAACAGGTCGGTTTTTATACTGCTCAAACTCCTCTATAAGGAGAGTTTCTACTTCATTCAGGAGACAGTTGAAAAATAAGTAGTGCCTGTAATTTATCATTATAATTATTATTACAAAATGAAACTTATCCATAGGGCATCTGGATAACTGAAATCTGTAGATAAACAATGTTTTTACAAGAAATGCACAGCCCAGTTCAGACAGACAGTATTGTTAACTTTCATACAACACATATGGGGTGATATCATAAAGTTGAAGAAATAAAATGTTGCATGTGCTGTGTAGGGGACTGTCTAGTAATGTGCCTTCAGGCAGGACTCTGGAAGGGAAAAGAATTGCTAGCTAACAGATGTAGTTTGTGGTGTAAAGACTGGAAAGGAAGATGAGAACAAAGAGATAAGGAGAAAGCTTGAAACAAGTAGTGGAACTGAGACTTTCCATGGTATATAAATGAAATGGAATTACTCTGGGTGTCCCTGAAAGGGAGAGGAATTTAAAGCTGAAAGTAGCAAGTGCTAACAAAAAGGCTACAAATTGGAAATGACAGCTGAGAGAGAGGAAAAAAAAACAACGTGAAGGCAGATTGATATGGCAGAAGTTGACATGGATGAGGCAAAAAATACAGAGAAATATTATACTCATGAGGCTTAAGAAAGAAGCTTTTCTAAGCACTGCAAACAGAGCAAGAAAGGAACGAAAACATTTTTACATCGAAAAGGGAAGAGCAGATCAGCACTGATAACTGCATGGAGTTTGAGCACATGAATGATGAGTGCGATTTGCAGAACAGTGAATGGTAATAGGAAAGGAAGGACATGACAAATTTGGGCAAAAACATTGGATTGTTTTTCCAAATTGAACCTGAGGTTTCCTGGAAGACAGTTAGCAGTCTGAAAGAAAGTACACTGTATCTGACTAGGTCCAGAAGAGTAGCTGAAACAGAAGAAATGGATAAAGTTGCTCAATGAGAATATAAAGAAGAAAAATGAGAGGATCGTAAACAAAAGTGTAGGAACTATTACTAAAAAAAGCAGTGGTTGAGGTACAGAAAATTTGAGAAACACAGGAAAAGTAAAGAAGGGAGTGACCATTTGTAAAGGAAACAGCAGTAGTTTAACTGAATGGGCATTTTCCTTGAAAATATGTATCTAGTTCTCAAAGGAGTAAGATATTTGGATATTTCCAGGGTATTAGTGATATCTGGAAGGGGATGGAAGCTGTTGGTATGTTTATATTGAATATACTTTTTATTTTAAAGAACATATAAAAGCCAAATTGTCGCAGACCTGGAAGTAATTAGATTAGGAAATCTGAGTTTTTGAAGAAACATGGTACTGAGAGGAAGTTACTCATTTTGAAGAAAAAAATATTAGAACAAACAAAATCTTCTGCTGTGGTCTCCTACTCTGGCAATGAAAGCATCAGAAAATTGATTGGGTCTTCATCTGTGCAGGCTGATTAAAGCATAACCCTATTGTCTGGAACAATATGGAAGGCAGCTAGAGGAAATAAAATCCACAGAAAACAAAACACACTTAGTCAAAAAAATATACATATGTATCAAGATATTGATGTCTTATGCAATAATTACAATGAAATATTAAAACACAGAAGAATCACATGTAAGTCACACTAGTAAGATTTTGCTATTAAACAGCATAGCATTCTTACAGAAATTGCCTAAGAAATATAAGGGAGCACTGACATTGCTGTAGTAAGTCCTTACTCAAGTGCTTTGACATACCTTTCGATCCTGATATGTTTTTATTTGATTTGATTTGACAAGCACAGAAGAAATATTCCAAAGACTGTATTAAAGTGGAAAATTCTTTGCTTTTTTCCAATTCTATCTTGATCAAACAAGCGTAAGGTTTTGTTGAGTAACATTTAGAGGGACATAATACTCAGAATATGTATGCACAACAATGTAAAATTCTACTAGCAATTTAGCTTAACTGTGTGCATTTATAATGCTAACAAAGTCTTCAGTGAAAGATTATTTTTGAGCTCTTGTTTTGCAGGCTAGGCTGTGTCAGAAGAACAGAACTCTGCAGTACAACATGCATAATATTTTATAACTTTGAAGGAAAATTTCTTACCTCCAGCAACTAGCCCAGACTCTCCTAACTGAATTGCTACCCCAAAGCCACCGAGCTTTACTGGGGCTGAATTCTCTTTTGAGGCAAGCAGTACACAGTGTGGCTGAAAAGACAAAAACCCAGACAAATTAATCTATTATTTGACAAATACAATTTGCGTTTTAGAACTTATTTTCATAAATTTGCAAAGAAAAGCTAGAATTTGGGGATTTTTTGGAAAGAATGTCTTAATTTCAGATCTGTTTTTTTTCTGGCATAGACTCCTCTTTCTTCACTGGCTTCCCTTTCAGTCATCCCAGGCACAGCAAAATCCCCTCAGGACTTATCAGAACTCACAAGGAACACAAAGTGAAATCATAATAAAACGGAGATAAAGATCAACACCTATAATTTCTTACCTGGTATTACTTTTTCTTTTTACTGTTCACCCTTAAGCCTTACACTCTTTCAATTCTCCAGCAGAAATATCCTGCCTATAATACACTTCTTGGGATCTTATCCTTCACACAGAGAACACAGAACACTATTTTGAGTCTTAATCACAGAATTCACTGATCACTTTGCAAATGCTGGAAAGAAAAGGAGCATCCCTGTGATGTATCTAATAAATAATGTGGCAAGGGGGGATATTGTTTATATTTCTAAACTGTATTCTGGGCATAGTCATCCATACCTTTGATTTTCCCCAGTCTTTTCCACTAATAAGAGTGAGGTGTAACGTACAAAAATAGAATAATATTATACAACAGTTTGGATGGATACTGTCTGGTGTAGGAGAAAGCAACATACAGAAAAAATCTCTTAGAACACAATTTTGTATTTAGTACACATAGCCAAATTACTGCATTTAACATAGAACAACTTCCTGCATTTACTCAAAGCCTCCCTTTGCAGTCAATCATATTATTTAAAAGGAAGAATATGAAAATTGTATACTGCTTCTTAACGATATGTTATTGCTTAGATTACAATACTAGGAACTCAAAATAGTGCAAAGGAGCTACAACAAGCTCAATCTGACTACCTGTAAAGTCAAAATCTGTAACTGCCTGTTTGCTTTTTAAGTTTTAGTTTTTTTAAGTTTTAGAACAAGCATCTTCCAGTAAGAATGCACCACCTGTTTATAATTCTAACCAAAATCTGAAGAATCCTATAAAAGCTGATTCATAAACGGATGATATATTAAGAAAATTAAAATGGAAATTCTCATTTCAAATGTTAAGGAAAATACAAAGCCAAGATAATGTTCTCGAGATGATAATTAAATTTAGGCTACCTTTTATCAGGACTTCTATAATCCATTTTTACATTTGCAATTTAAAAACATACTTTTCAATCCCTTGCATCCTATTTAAAATAGCGTTACTGGGTGGTATTATATCTGCATACTGTATTTCGCTTCTGCCCTATTGAAATCGTTAAGCTGCATGCTTTGGGCACTTTCACATTCTCTCATCACTGTCATTTTGAGTTTAAAAGATGAACATCAAATTTTTAACCCCAGGCAAGGAGGAAGGTAAATGGGAGAACTACACCAATATAAGCAAAATGTACCATTTCACTGTGGTGTTGATTTATCTTTACCCTACATTTGAAAAAGTGACACTATTTCCATGACAGCATTAAAAAGAAGACAGGCTGTACCAATATAAATGTCATCAAAAACGGAAGCCACTGACACTTCTTACCAGAAACAAAGTTTCTGAGAAAAAAACCCAAACTGCCAATTCAGACTGACACTCAGAGAAAATTTTATTATAGAACCTCTTCCAGTAAAGCCCAAATTAACATCAAAATTGATTAATTCAATTCAATAAACTGAGTTTTGCTATTTAAAATTATCTTTTAAAAAAACAGTTGCAACACTAGCTAAACTTCCTCTTGTTGCTAATTGTACTGTGTCAGCTGATTCTCATCACTTTCATAGAGAAGCTGGTGCTTTAGCTTTCTAATAAGAGGACTTGCATGTTACTCCTCCCTGTCTTCACCAGTGGTTTTGAAAATCAGAAGTTCTTAATATATAAATGGTAAGTGTTTTCATTTATACTTAAGCTATAGTAAATCGAATTTCTATTAAAATTTCTCTTAACTGCAAAGGTACTACTGACCTTCAAACCCTTTCTTAAATATACTGAGGTTTAAGCATGCCTGTTTGCTTACAGATGACAAAACATGATAGTGAGAAGTTATGTTTCTAGTGTATCTATCTGCAGTGTAATTGATTTTTTTCACTAACCTAAATCTTGTCACTATTTATGCAAGTCATGATGCCAAGCATTTTTATAGAAAAACAACATAAAAAATAAATTATAGTAGTAGAGAAGTTTCAAGATGTATTTGAAAGCATCATGTTTTTAATCAAACTTATAAAATGAACTTCTTGCCCTGACAATATGAAATGGCAAGTACAAAACCAGAAATATTTTTGAAACTGCCAATATACTGTACACATTTAAAGTATTTGTAAGGTCAGCCAATCCAGATTTTATATATAAAGTAGGTTTCACTAAGAATTTTACCTGAAGTGCTGCCATTTTCACTGCTGGAGCTATATCACACATTTAAATGAAAATTTGAATTTTTAAGACCTAATATGCAAATGAAAAACTATTTTAATGTTACATATATGGCAGTATTTTGTTGTTTTTTTGACTTGTTACTGTTGTTGGACAACTAAGTTCAGAGTACCAAAACCTATTCTGAAGTTTTTGTGAGATCAGGGGGAAAAAACATTGCCCCTTTAAAAAAAAAATCTAAATAAAATTATTGATGGAATCTTTTATCTCTATTACATACAAATTGAGGACAGAAGTTGTATCATTACTGATCAGTCTTAACCATCTCTTTAAACAGCTCACTGTGATTCTGGTCTCCTAACCACACAGTTTATTGGTTTTTCTTCTTTGATCAAAGCTGACTTATCTTCTAGATTGTATCCTCCTGGTCAAAAAATAATCTTAGTGAAACTAAAAACTTTGAAATGAAAACAATGAAACCAAGGAAGATGTGAAAACAATCTGCTACTACATTAATGTACTTTCCAGCTAATATTAGTTTCTTTGCATAATATTGATTTGTGAACAGTCAAGAAAACGAAAACAATACTTACATTAAGATATAAATTATTAAAAACAAACTACTGCAATAGTACTGACTCTAAGTGTTACTTATTACAGATTACATAAGAAAATAAATATTGACAATTGCTTTTCTAATTGAAAACTAGTGAATTGCATGTGATAGATCCTGGGTACTTATTTAAAATTAATACTGATGAGTTTAGAATTGTTTTGATATATTGCTATGTACTTTGTATCAACACTGAGAATACTTCACTTAGCTATGCTAGCCCATTCTTGCATCTTAATTAAAAAGTTTTCTGTGTTAGAAAGACTAATCCTAACATCTGAACTTAAAAAATATTTGTACTTCTATATAAAAAAAAACCCTGAATTTCTAAAGTTTGCGGTAAGACATAATAGCTGATTTTTAAAACAACACAAGACTGTAATAAAGATGTAATTACTAAAATAGTTATCTATGTCAATATGCTGCACCATCTGTTCTTGTAAGAAAAACAGGGAACTGATTATTCTCGACTTACATTGTACAATGATATCTGGCTGAAAGACCTACTTCTACTCAGCTACAGCGATACTTTGGTGCATTTACTTTTTTTTTTGTTATCATCTTTTATGTATATATCACATAAGACTGTACACAATAAAGCAAGTAGACACATGAGAATGATCCAGTGGCAATTTAATTCTTAAAATTTCTCTTTGCATCCCTACAGAACGGCTAAAACATCCTCACAAATGATGGCTGCAGCTTCAGCTGATTTACTGACCGTTATTCCATACAAGGCAGACTTCTGGAGTAACCAAACTAACCTATCCATAAATGCCTCAGAAATGAAAAACAATGCTAGCTGTCCTTTAGATGACATCTCACTGTCACTTGCTTTGATAGTTTTTTACTCTATTATTTTTGTCATTGGATTGGTTGGAAATATTATATCCCTGTTTGCTTTCCTCTGCGTTCATCAGAAAAGGAATTCTATCCAAGTTTACTTGCTAAATGTAGCTGTTGCAGACCTTCTGCTGATCTTCTGTCTTCCCTTCCGAATATTCTATCATGTTACCAAAAACACCTGGATGTTTGGACTGATTTTATGCAAGATTGTAGGAACTCTATTTTATATGAACATGTATATTAGCATAGTACTGCTGGGACTAATTAGTCTAGACCGTTATATAAAAATAAATAAGTCTGTGAAGCGTCCTAAAATGCTAACTACTACACGAAGCATACATATTTGTTGCATGGTGTGGGCACTTGCACTAATAGGATTTATAATAGTAGTTGCACCATCTTTCTTCAAGAGTGAGGACAGAAATTCTACTATGTGCTTTCATTACCGAAATAAACAGAATGCAAAGACAGAAGCAATTTTGAATTACATTATTGTAATTATTTTTTGGATAGTTTTTTTCCTTTTGATACTTTCATATGTTAAAATTGCCAAGAACCTTCTGAAAATGTCAAGGAAAAGAGCAAATTTTCCCAATGCAGGAAAATACACCCAGACAGCAAGGAATTCCTTCATTGTGCTCATTATTTTTACCATCTGTTTTGTTCCTTACCACCTGTTCAGGTTTGTCTACATTACATCACAACTACAAAATCCATCTTGTTATTGGAAGGAAATAATTCACAAATGCAATGAGGTGATGCTTGTATTTTCATCTTTTAACAGCTGCTTAGACCCAGTTATGTATTTTCTAATGTCCAGAAGTGTCCGTAAGACTGTATTCCAACTTATTTGCAGAAGACTTCACGGAGATCCAGGCGTAACTCTGGAAAGCACTTCAGAAATAAAACTTGGACAATATACACAAGAGCGATTATCTACTACGACTCCCCACTCAAGTTCTGTAAAGAAGAAGTCTCTGATTTGACTGTTTAACTGAATGGATACTAGTTTGTCACTCCAGGACAACAGTTTGATATTATCAAATGCTATACTGTACAGCTACTAATTCTGCCCCTTTTTTCCTGTTAAAGAATGAGAAGTCTTACTTCTGTTTGTGAAACAAGAAGTTACTTTTCTGAAGTATTTTGCTCTTTTTTATCTAAGAAAACAAAATAGGAAGTTCTGAGACATCTCCTGTTGGGCTAAACAAGAACACTAACTCTTTAAGGAGATTTCCACAAAGTGGTTTGAATCTGTATAAGGAATCTTGTTTATAGACATTAATATTACCAATTTGTGTATGTAGATAATAGATTAATTTTGCAAAAAGTAATTTGTGTCCTATTCAAAAGAGCTTTATAAACCATTATAGATTTTATGTACTTTTGTGTTTTAACAGGTTTCAAAGAGATGAGCATTTTAACTACATTTTTAGAAGTATTTTTTCCAAGAAAATATCTGTGAATTTAGCAACATATGTGGCTTAAAAATGAGGTGAATACAAGGTACACTTAGTTTTATAAAACAGGAACATTAAAACATTCAAGCCTCCTAAGCCTCTTATTATGTTTTCAACATTTTAATGAATGTCAAGGTTGAACACATGAGGAAAAGTAAGCAGTGCTTTTGGAAAATTAGAAATTAATGATGGAGAGATGACATACAGATATTTTCAGTTACCTAAGATTTCCTTCAACCTCTGACAAATTTGGTGACTGCTGCTACACAAAGTAATTGAACAAGGTAAATAAACTCTCAGAACTGAGCGTAAAGAGCAGAATGGAAAAATTAGCTCTTGTGAACATCTGATGCATCAGCTTCGATTTTTGCTCAGGCTCAGTCACTGGTCAACTTACAGATTTCCACATCCATGCATGCCAGCTGCTCACTTCCCTACCACAGGCCTTCTCTTTTTATGTGATCAAAATAATCTTGAGAATTACTAATAATATGTAAATAGCAATGTAACAGCAATGTCCCACAGATACAACTATATTCTCTGATTGAAACCAAACAGGTTCATGTATTTAAGCAAAGTTTTAAACAAAAATTTCAAGTTGTAACATTGTTCAAAAAACCAGGGGGGCTGAAGGTAGTGGTTGTTTGACCCAAAGATAAATAGAGGCAGTTATACCAAGAATAACTTAAATGTCCAGCGTGACAGGCCAGAAAGGTGAATGAATAAGATGTTAAGCTCCATAAAATAAGGATTTATAATCCTGAACGCATACAAGCAATACTGCTCCAGTAAGCTGCTTTAAAGAAGTTCGTTTTAATACAACTACCAGTAACTTCTCTGATGGATCATGTGACTTTTTATGCCAAATCTGTGTCAAAACTTGTGGATTTTTACTAATTCTGTACAATATCCTGGTTTTACAGAAGCTACTCATAAAACTCTTATTTAACAAAGTAAACATAACACGTCACCTCTGTTAGATATAAACCTGGTTTAATTTTTATGTGATTTTACTTCATTCAGTTTTGCTAAAACTGGGCATAAACATGTTAAACAAATTACAATGACTAGCCAGTGTCTTTTTTTTAAACAAAAAAGGATGGGATTTCTTAATCTTCAAGAGGTATTCCAACAAACATGTAATTTTCATAAAAGTATGATGGTAACTGCACATTTTTTAAACAGTTTCAGCATACAATTAAGGTATTTGTACAATAATTTCTGACTCTCACAATAATTGCATTATATTTTTTCACGATCTTTTATCCATCATCTTGTCATCCTATTATACGTATGCTGAAGCAAGAACTGTCTTGACTTTGTATTTGTACGGTGCAAGGAATAGCATGTTCCTTGTCCTCCACAGTTTTCCTATGCAGTATATTAGTTCTACAGTTCCATCAACTCTGACAAATCTAGTGGAGTTTATAAATCATAATTTCACAAGATATACACATTATCTCATCGTTTGTTCTTTGCCTGTATTTATTCTACTGTAACTGATTGATGACACTGATCACCAGGCTGGGAGAGGGGAACACGGGACAGGAAGGACACAAATGACGACTGCGCAAGCCTTGTGAAGTTCAACAAGGCTAATTGCAAGGTCCTGTATATGGGTTAAGGCAATCCCAAACACAAATACAGGCCAGGCAATGAGTGGATTGAGAGCAGCCCTGTGGAGGATTTGAGGGTTTTAGTGGATGGAAAACTGACTATGGGCCAGCAATGTGAGCTCACAGCCCAGAAAGCCAACCATGTGTTGGGCTGCATCAAGAGAATTGTGGCCAGCAGGTCAAAGGAGGGGATTCTCCCCCTCTGCTCTGCTCTCGTGAGACCTCCCCCTGCAGTGCTGTGTCCAGCGCTGGGGCCCCCAACATAAGAAGGACATGGACCTGCTTGAGCAAGTCCAGAGGAGGCCACAAAGGAGATCAGGGGGCTGGAGCACCTCCCCTGTGAGGACAGGCTGAGAGAGTTGGGGTTGTTCAGCTTGGAGAAGGCTCTGGGGAGACCTTATAGCGACCTTCCAGTACATAAAGAGGGCCTACAGGACAGATGGGGAGGGACACTTTATCAGGGAGTGTAGTGATAGAATGAGGGGTAATGGTTTTAAACTGAAACAGGGTAGATTTAGATTATATGTAAGGAAGAAATTCTTTGCTGTGAGGGTGGTGAGACACTGGCCCAGGGTGCCCAGAGGAGCTGTGGCTGCCCCCTCCCTGGAGGGGTTCAAGGCCAGGCTGGACGGGGCTTTGAGCAGCCTGGTCTGGTGGGAGGTGTCCCTGCCCATGGCAGGGGGGTTGGAACTAGATGACCTTTAAGGTCCCTTCCAATCCAAACCATTCTATGATTGTATGATACCCTGCAGCTTGAACAAACCTTGAATTCTAAAATTCTTTTGAAGCAAAAGTTCAGTATAAACCAGAGTTTTAATTTACAAGAATTACAATTCATGGACACTGCATGATAGCAAAAATAGACTCAGATGTCTTCAGAAGATCAAATAATAGTACAGGTCTTCAATGCTACAAATGAAGTTGACTTTTAAAGCCAAAGGCAAATAGAAATGTGTTCCACAGGACAAAAAAAATACCACATTAGTATTCTGGGCATACTTTTGTAAATTATGTAACGTTTACTTGGTTACTGTAACATTAATTTGTAAGCAACCAAATACATAAAAGGACAACAGGAAAATAGTCATGAAGTATAAACTCAAGATGCTAGTCCATCATGTGAATAGTATTACATGGGATTTTTTGTTTTTAATAATTTTAACAGGGAAATCTAGTTAGTATTTTCTTCAAGACGAAACTCTTAAACACCCATACATATTTGCATTGATCAGGTGTGTCCTACACTACAGCCATTCTTTACAGTTTGTAGAGAATGAGCACTGAAGAAGTCATGCACAATAGCAGTAGACAAGGTTTCAGGAAAAAAAAACCAAAATGTTTTAGAAGAAATATCAAAGAGTAACTCTTCCCCAGGACTACATGCTACACATTAAAATGTTTCAAAAGAATTTCAATACAGGGTAATCTGTCGCTTAAACCAGTCTCTGCACACAAGCAGCAAATATAACCCCAAATAAAGAGATTTCAGGAGCTACCGTTTGTATTAGGCAAATCCTAATACAGCAACTATAAAGACAAATAAAATTAGGCAAGCTTGGGTGTATAAGGTAGCCTAGGTAAAAGTGAATAGATTTGTTTGAGGGAAGCCATGTAGCAGAAAATCAGTAACAGAGGAGTTATCTGGAAGACCTGAGAAGCACTGGGGTAAAGGTGATATGGTGTAGTTAGACTTCAGCAAAGTCACTTACTAAAGGCTCTGAGAAACCCTAAGAGATGTTAGATATTAATTCTTGTTTAACAACTAGTTAAAAATTGGAAAGAAATCTTAAAAATATAGTCTTTTTTCTTCGTGATATTCTCCAATAATCTGCAAATAGATACATTTACAAATGTTTAACACTACAATCTGTAATGAGTGAGAGTAAGGAGATGATAGAGTTTTCAAACAACACACAATTACTCAGGTAGTGAAACCTAAAAAAAGTTAAAGATATAACTCTACTCAACAGCAACAAAAGAGCAAACAGACTGTTAAAATTATAAAATTAGGAGATAGAAACCTGAGAAGTCATCATTGTGCTACTGTATAATTTGTATGATGGAGATTCTATACAGACCACGTTAAATAAATCAACTCTTCAGCTCAGAAATGAAAATCTGAAAGGAAACACAAGACTATAACAGTAAGTATGGTGCAGAAGAGGGGAACAGGTATGACTATTTGATCTTTGTCAGAGTGTGACATTAAGGGAGTAGCAGTTAGAACAAAAAAACAACCCCCAAAAGCAACCAGACAAGTGAAAATACTTATGGATTTCCACAACTATGTAAATCAGTGCTTCAAGATGTTAAAGGCCAGATGTATCAACTGGCTTAGAAAGGGATCTGAAACTAGACAGTATTGTCATGTAGGAAACAATTACTACTGACCAAAAACCAAAAGAAGCTATCTTCACTATTTAAAAAAAAAATATTTAATTCTTACATATATTTTCTGCAATCAATTTTCCAAAATTTGAGGGTAAAATGCCAGGTTCTGCAAAACAGTATTGCTGAAGAACAAACAGTCCTGAAGCATCTTGAGAGGTCTGCTGAAAGTTACACTGTGACATGTCAAATGACTTTAATAGTGTCTCTTACTTCTTGTCTTAACAGTACTTCCTAAGTACTACCAGGGCCAACTATAGCAATTAGATGAGTCTTCAGATGAATTTCAACATGAAAATAATTCTATTTATTCTTCTTTCTCTAAGTAGAGGTAACTCAACACACTCAACACACATCTCCACAACCTGCGTGAATCTCATTTTCCTTCTTTATTCAAATCTACAACACATTCTCAAATTTCAGTTGGTGTACCAAAAGGTCACTTCTTTTTTACTATGTAAAAAGGAACACATATTCTTCATTAGGACAAACACTAGTTACAAAATGCATATAAATTATACATGCTGGCTAGTCACTTCTATACCTTTTAGACTTGACAAATACATTAATAGCTACATTGTCATACACATATTCCTTAAAATGAATGGAAAACATAAACCAAGAAACAAAGCTGTTTGCCAGATACAAGTTTAGAACTTGAATCATAAACATATCAAAGTGTACCTCATTTTAGTAAACTGCTGTACTGTTTTTGTCTGGGATAGAGTTAACTTTCTTCACAGTAGCTTGCCTGGGGCTATGTTTTGGGTTTGTGATAAAAACAGTGTTAATAACACAGGGGTGTTTCAGTTATCAGGGAACAGTTCTTGCACAGCATCAAGGCCTTTTCTGTCTCTCACCCCACGATGGAGGATGGATGCACAAGAATTTGTGAGGGGACACAGCTGGGACAGCTGACCTCAACTGACCAAAGGGATCTCCCATACTGTATGAGCTAAAAAAGATGGTGGGAAAGTTTGCCAGGGCTGCCATTTCTCAGGAACTGGCTGGGCATCCATTGGCTGGAGGTGAGCAATGGGGTTTTTTTGCATCACTTGCTTTTCTTAGTTTAGTTTTTCTCCCCCCCCCCCCCCCCCTTTTTCTTGTTCTTTTCATTTTCTTTAAACTTATTAAACTCTTTACCTCAAACCATGAGTTTTTTCACTTTACCCTACCAATTCTCCACCTCCCTCCCACAGGAGGGGGAGCTGTGGTTTGTTTAGCTGCCTCCTGGGATTAAACTACAACAACCCTTTTTGGCACCCAATGTGGGGTTCAAATGGTTCGAGATAACGACAGGTTTGACCAGAGTGTGTGTTAGAGCAGGAGGAAGCATCAGAAGCAGCAACCTGTTTGGCAGCAGAGCAGCCACAAGAACAGGAGGAGGAAGAGACAGAAATCATAAACAAGTTTTTGCACTTTTACCCTTCCGATTCTCTTCTCCATCCCACTGAGAGTGAGAATAATTGTGGGGAAGGGATGAAACTGGAAAAAGCCTTAACATTCAAACTGCACAGTTAGGGCGGGAAGTGTAAAAAGAAACATGAATGGCAGAGAAACTGCTAATTGTATATCACAGTACTGCAAAGTGAGAAACAAAATGAGGAGAAAAGAGTTCTAGGGTTTGCTTACAAGCCTATGTTTTAAGAAGCTGAATGAATTATTTACAATATACCACAACAACATATTCTGGTACATGCTACCTTCAAGTTACCTTGCTTTTATCTGTAAATGGTCTGTGTGTTCTGGTACCTTTAAATTTGCATACAGAGAGGGGTAGTACACCTTTGCACTTAATACAAAGCAAGTCCAGCTTCTTCATAGAACTCTCAAGCCACAGACATAAATGACTGTGCTTTAAAAAGAAAAATATACCTTCTATTCCTTCCACAAAAATTCTCACTAGGTAAAGATGTTAACAAACATGATCAACAACAGATTAAGAGTCTGATGAAAAGACAGAATAATTCTTGGCAGGGGGTATAGAAATGTTCTTGATCTTCTGCAGCCATAAGGCCCCAGCTTGCAGCCAACAGAATCTACATTTTAAGCATCAGTTTTGCTTTTCCTGTCATGTTTCAGGTTTTTATTTTTGCTTTATTATTTTTCATCTTCACAGAAACTTAAGAAGCACCTGGAAAAGCCAAAAAGCTGTTATACACAAACATATTTAACTTGAAAAAAACACGAATTATAGTATGATGCAGAAGAACACGGAGAAAGGTTCCTATTTGACTATTATGATCAACACAGTTTTCATGTTAAAAACTGATTTCTGAAGTTAAAAGTAAAAATCATCATGACCAATACAAAACCACTGGCTTTTCAGAAGCAAATTAGTTAGAGACACCTCTGGGAACTGCACAAATAATGTAATTGGAGAAAAAATACAAAGTATATAGCATTAATGACCCGAAATATAAAAATGTTGGAAGATTATTTTTGTTAGTACTGTCAACTTCAAGCTAAGTTTTCCTGCCTAAAAGACATTGTTTGGCTTGTGTTTTGTCTATGTAGAGCAACTACCAGGAGCATGTGAAACACTTAACTTTGCATATTTTATGACAACAAAATAATTGAAGCTATGAGTGCAATATATCCCCACTGCTATATCCCTTAGGATGCCACAAAGTTACACTTCATACACTTGTAATTCATCAAATAACATAAGAACGCTCATTCTGGGTCTATTTTTCTGAACCACAAGGACAGTTCTAAAACTGGTGAAAATACATCATTAGTGAACAGGAAACACAGATGGAGCTCAAACCTGCCAAATATTTTATCTTCACTGATTCAGCATAATGCTCGAGTAGATTAAAACATGAGCTTAGATGATTTTGCTTTGATAAGCACTTCTTAAAATATTAAATACATACACTGACTATAGCTAAAATCCTCATTCTGTCAAGTCAGGAGAAGAGCTGTGTACACACTGGGTCAACCCCTTCAAGAAAAGCTGATGAGTGGGCAGAGAGGAACCATGATGCTCTGCAACACCTCTCCTGATACAGGTGTCCAACTGAAAATGGTTACTGTGTACTGCATCTGTCTTAAAAGTTTATGCAGTCAAAAAAACGTTTAATTTTAATGCTTAAGGAAAAAAACTTCCCAACAAAACTAAGCACCAAAAGTCAAAGTTCTAGGCAAGCTACTTGGTAAATGATTTTTTTTGAAAGAAAATATGGATTGCAATTGTGTAGTAGCCGGTGCATCTTAGAGACTTATCTTGGTATTAAATGCCATACAGTAGATGAAATTCCAAGCACCTGAAATTAAATCTCAAGTTAAAGGCTGCTGCACGTTTGATGTATTCTATATATTTATTCAGTATGATTCATCCTCAGCACCCATAGTAGCCATATCCAGGGTCATACACTTTTCTGTGCCCTATCTTCAGCGGTTGCCTTCCATCCTTCAAGATGCAGAGACCGAGTGCATCCCTTGAGCCTTCCACAGTACAGAGAGAGCCAGGACTGCTACAGAAGCCAGAGGTAACCGAGCTGCCACCTTCTTCCATCCTACAGGAAGCAACTGCTGCCAACACAGTATACACCCTGTTGTACAGCAGGAACAGTCCAGCTCTCCTTTTGATTTGTGACCAGCACAAGGAGCTACGAGGTTGACTGGGCTGACTTCTATTATCTCAAGCAGGTGGAGGGGAGAGGAAGTGGCCAGGCAGCCTGCAAGTAGATCACTCTGTCATATATGATTGTATTACATAGCATGATAGGTATGGGTCATACAGAGCTAATTAAAATACCTTTCACCACTGGGACTTTTCCTGGTTTGATGCTTTTGAGCCACAAAATAAATTGCATACAAAGGCAAAATGCAACATATGCTGCCTACTGGCATATAAAATTGAGTAACATGTCTAAATTAGAAAGTGATCATGGCTTAAGAGTACAGAAAATATAAATAATTGAGGTGAAGAATGCACATGAAGGTCATTATGAAGAATTTAAGAGTGAATTACGCAAAAGATGCACTTGTACCATTCGAATACGATAAAATATATTTTAGATAAAATATGTCATTTATAAGTTAGGTGGATGGAAATAGCCCACTAAAAGAATAATGAAGGTGCTTATTACAGCTGAGAAACAACTGTAACTGTATTTCTAGAGTTGGCTTGTTGTTTTTTTAAACTTATAATATCCCATTCCTTTGTTACTCATCCCGCTAATCATTTCCAAAATGAAGTCTGATAGACTGTGATTCACTATAATAATCTATTATATAATAATTCAGAAAAAAATGTAGCATCACTTCCTACAGCAAGAGTTATAGTCATCAAATTATAAATACTACAGGCTACAGTTAATAACCAGCTGAATAATAATAATAATAACAATAATTTTAAAAAATCCTGTTAACTGGAATTGCTCACACCATTTTTTGGCATGTCTCTTTTTAGCAAATTTTCAGGATATGCATTCTTGTATCTAAACCTGGTTGGAACACCACAACAAGAAGGACTCCTAAGACTGTTTAAGAAACTATTAAATATTTAATTAATACAAGACTCGTTCTGTTAGAACAAATTTTAGTATAACTATACATTCAAAAGTAGAAAAAATAAAAACAAGGTATAAATAAATCTAACAGGAACAAGAATTAAAGTACATGCAAACTAATTACAGAATTACAAACTAATTACTAATAATGCACAGCGAGTTTCACTCACATTTAATCTTAAATGAGGTCAGCTATGTAGTCTAAATAGGAGGGCAGTATACATGTCCCTCATTTTAGTAAAAAAAAAAAAAAATCAGTAAGACTTAACAACAAAACTGATAGTAGATCACTGAGGTGGATTCTCACAGTGTATGTTTAAATGTCAAACAAAACTAAGAAAACAAGAACCTTACCAAGGAGCTTATTTATAGCTGTTGAAAAGCCATATTTGACAACCACAGATGTATCAAACAGAAGGATATTCAAGCGTCTCAAGCTCTGCAGAGCTAAACAGAGTTTGACTAATCTGTTACCAAACCTCTCCTGTGGAAGAAGGAAATTGTCCTGTGCACACTTCTTGATGATTTGTATAAAGTACTGTATTTCTTGGACACAAAGTCTATTTTCCCCAACTGATGTCTAGAATGTATCAGCTGTAAATTGCTTCCACACATTCTATCACCTCACTAGAAGTATGAGATGTGTTCATTTTGTCATGCACATGAGGACAGACATGGGTACACTATTGGTGCATGTGGGCTTCAGGAATAGACAGTCAGCTTTCTGATAGATCTTGGAGCTGAAGAACACATAAATGTCACTGAAAATACAAGTTTTCACGTATGAAATAGCAACTTCCCCTCTACTTCACCCCCGGAAAGTGGGCAGTCCTAAAGAAAATGATAGTAACAATCCCTCCACCCCCAAAAAGAGGAAAGCACTATATAAAGGATTGTAAGGTGTTTCCATGCCATACCTACATGACCAAAGGACTGTTACAATCACTCTTATGCAGTATCTCATGCTTTTTATTTCTCTAATGAAGCTGCATCCTGACCTAATTTCAAAGTCTTTTTTGCACAGACAGCATCATCTTGTCTGAACTTTAAGTACCTAGTCACTTTTTGACACTGCAAAAGAAAAGTGTGCATTCTGAAAACCTACTTATGCCAGAGAGAGACTTTTTTTAACTGTACTTTCCAGATTCAAGTATCATCCTTTTCATTGCAGCAGTGGAGATAAAAAGGATATCAGACAGAAAAATTTCCTTTCTGCAAAGGAAGGTGCCTGCAGCTTGCATATAGGTAAGGTTAAAACTACTACTACTTTGTTTCACCTGACAAAATTTGGACATTGACACAAAAATGATCATTAGACTTCTAAATGACTCAATTCAAGAATTACTTTGTGAATTTAATTCAATGTAATAAAATAATTTAATACATTTGGCTCAACAATCCATATGAGATGTAGTGTACGCTAAAATGCAACAGCTATAAAAGTTAATTTAATTTGCAAGTTGTCAAACATGGCCTACAGCATAATTTTTAAATATGACTTTTACAGCTTTTTGCTATCTAATCAACTTGGTGTCTGGGCTTTTTATCATAGCTACACAGAATCCTCTCTGCTATCTGAGTTCATTTGCTTACAACTGTAAAATAATAAATTACTATAAGTCTGAAAGTTTGAAATTTGTTAATCTTTTCCATATGATTTTATATGGAACAAAAGCTAACTAGGATACACTTCACTAAAATAGTATCCATAGAACAATAAAACCTCTCTTCACTACAGGTTAGTAAGCTGAAGTGCCAGGCTTTATATGCAGTCATTGTATGAAGCTTTGATTTATTATTTTCAGTCTGGAAATGAAGAAGATTGAAAACTGAACTTGAGAAAAATAAAGATATTGCGGTTTTCAACAACTATTTCATATGTTTAAAAACACAGACTGAAATGCTTATGCAAAATGAACATCTAAGATTAGAGCTCTGAAAAAAGTAACAATAGATACAGACATCAGCACAAAAGAAATGCACCTAGCCAGATTCTTGCATCATGCAGAGTTTAATTTGTAATTAAATGGAGGTACAGGATACTCCTCTGCATTTCTGCAATTAAAGTAGTACTTTGCACTTATTTAACTTAAAATAGTCTAGAAGTGGTTTCCAAAGTAGGTTACAGATGTTCCAGAAGATTGAGAAATAAACCAAGACCACACATGTTATTGTCACACCCTAGCTTGAACCTTCTGTTTCCTAATTTATTTTATTAGATTCTATGCACATAAAATCTTTGGGGTTTAACATCAGCCAAATTTTCTTCACAAGATGTCAGTGGAAGAGAACACCCAAACAGTAACCTCATGCAAAATCAAGACGATTACCCCAGAGGACAAACAGCAGTTAGTAACACTGAAAGGTAGGGGAGAAAAGGGAACAGTTAAGATAATAGCAAAGAATAAAAGAGATGTTAGATGCACATTACAGAAGAATAATTCTTTTAATTGTGTTTCAGCTCTGACCATTCATTCAAGAAATAGCGGCATAAATGAGAAATTCAACATGTCTTCTTCAGCCATCGTTAGCTACGACTGTAGCTCTACCAGTCATCTACTCCTTCCTATTTCCTGCTGGAAGTTTTGGAAATATTCTCACTGCCTGGATATTTTCAAGGCAAGCACTCACAAAAAGAACACAATACATTTACCTGGCAAACCTTGTCACTGCAAATTTACTCATATGTAGCACAATGCCTTTTCTGGCTGCCTATTTTGCAAGAGGTTACCAATGGACTTATGAGTCTGCAGCATGCAGAATTGCAAATCACCTTGGGACTCTCATTATGCATGTCAGTATGTATGTTACGATTATAATTTTGTGTTCAACTGCTCTAAGTCAGTATGCAACACTGAAGAAAAACTGTGATACACAATACTCTCAAGCAGTTAATGAAAACTTTTACAGATGTGTACTTAAAAAGTTTCGTCAGCCGAAATTTGCTAAATATTTGTGCATAATTATATGGCTTACTGTGCTCTGCATAACGGTAGTAGCTATAACATATAATATCCAGGCAAGGGCTATGAAAGAATTTCACAGATGCTACAACATCAATGTAGAAGCTGGTGAATTTGCCACAATGATTGCAGCTTCTTTTGCCACTCCGTGTTTTTTTGTATCCTTTATGACAGTTTTGTCATCATACTATTCTCTTACCAGACATCTGAGTAAAATACAGAAAAATACCTGTATCAGAGAAAAACATCTAATTTACAGTACTGTAAAAAGAAACATTTTTGTCATCCAGATGATATTAACTGTCTGCTTTCTTCCATATCATATTTTTAGGCCAATTTTTTATGCACTGCTTAAAAGTGATGACTGCCCAAGGTTAAACTATCTAGTAGAAATTAAAAATTTCCTTACTTGTCTTGCTGCTGCTAAGAGTAGTTTAGATCCAGTTATAACCCTTCTGCTAGATAAAACATTTAAGAAAAGTCTGTATGGTCTGTTTACAAAATCCACACCAGAACACCACAAACGTAAAGCTGATATTTTCACTGAAGAGATTCCCGAAATGTGAATGAATATGGAAAGATATTAGTAGAATATAAGTAACAATAAACTCATTTTAACTACCTATAACCAGACTTTAATATGAAATGGTAAATATTTAAATAAAATGCTAACATATTACCTGGATTTTTTTTTCCAAATGTTCTTGCTTGCTACATCAACATCAGCTATAGTAAATCCAATGGGTATATTCATATGAATCCAAGTAATTTATACAGTGAACTCTGTAATCCTCTTTATCCATGCAATGCAAAAGACATTTTATGTTTCACACATCGACAGTGTTTTCTACCTAAATAACCAAGGAAGAAGGTAGAAAGTAGGCTGAATTTGAGGAGTTTAGTGCGTAAAGAAAATTTCTGGATGACATCTTATTCTAAAATTACTGAAAATGTCATTATTTACTTTAGCTATGTCCATCACGTTAGGGTTTTGCTATAGGAACTGATTTTTTAGGAGTAAAAAAACTGTGTTAAGAGATTATGCACTTTTTTTTATTCTAGCCTTCACAGGAAAAGCCTTACTACAGTTTTGTACTAAAATAGGAAAAAGCTCACATTTAAGATTTAATTAAGTTATCACCCTGCTCTGACATTTGCTATCATGGCCACAGTGTTACTGACATTACATCTGCAACAGGGTGACTCTGAAGAGAAAGTTTTGATGGTGACTAATAACCTGCAGAGGTGAAGTATCCAGAGATGAAGAGAAACCTTGTGGCCTAAGATTCTACTCAGTGTTTGAGAAGAATGGGGTTTATACGTGCTCTATACCTTTGTCAGCTATCATTTTTCTTGCAGTCTTATCCATGGCAGTCATGTTCAACAGCTGAGGCGGTGGCTTCCTTATTAGTACACAGCCTTGGTGTACTTACTTCACTTCACAGGTCAATTAACACATGCTGCTCCAGAAGGCATCTCCTTCACAACACTGTTTAAATCCAGACCATTTATAGAAGAGTGCATAAAGCACAAAAGATCTACAAAATTGCAACATACCTGAATATACAATAATTTTCATTGAAGAAAAAAAAAGGATGAAATGCATATATGCAGTTATTTCTAACCTATGGTACTACTTGTGATTAAAAAATCCCCCAACAAAACAAATCACTAGAATTTCCATACTCCTAGTCTAGTCTTGTGAGGCAAATTCTATGGTTTATTTAGGAAGGCATAAATGCTTATTATTTACTGGTATACAAAATATATTCAGTGATCATTAACAGTATGAGAGCAGTGCAAAACAGGAGATTTTGTGGGGTTTTGTTGTTTGTTGGGCTTTTTTTTTGAACTGTAGGAGTTAGAATGTCACAATGACTTAAGCAGAGATTTCAACTATTTTGAATAATTTCTGTTGAAGACACTTAACATTACATAATGGTCTTTTCCCTTGTACAATCTTCTCTGCAACTGAGATCAAGAGCAGTTTACTGAGTGTAAAAAGTGCTATAAAATACTATGTATTCTGAGAAATTCTATCACTCACCCAAACTTCACAATAAAATGTGGTGAGCAATTCTGTCTTTCCAGCCCTACACTACTGAGTTCCATGACCGGTACACTAAACCGACCCATGTGCCAGTAGACAAAAAATATTAGGTCTTCTCTAGGAGGGACCCCAAGACTTCATATCATCTGACAGCTGCTTCACAGTCTGCAGAAGTTAAATAAAGATGCACGTGAAAAAGACAGAAAACCATAAGAATGTAGCATTTTATTTAATACAGTGTTACCCATGATATTTAATTTAATTTAGTGATTGCTTCTTTCACAGGATTCCCACATGATGTTTAGCACACGGCTTACAAAAACACCTGAAATGGGCAGCTTCAGGATCTAATTCTACAAAGCACTGTAGGAAAGCTGCTCTGTGAACACAGTCCTTGAGCATGGAAGCTGGTTTGTGTGGGTGGGTGTTACACAGCCAATGGTCAAGTACTTACAGTGGGACTGAATTGAGCAGTTTAAGTCCTCCAGACAGCACAGTGCTGCTCAGATGGCTGATTTTAGATCAGCAGCTCTTAGTCTGGGTGAACAAAGCTGTTTACTATCAATGTGTTCTTATAATTTGTACAGGCCCAAACTGAGAACTCACTACTTCTGCCCTTCCTTAAATAAATTTTATGGAGAAAGCATTTGTAGTTAGGATATCTCAGCAGAGTGCCTGCCTTAGGACGTTTTTCTTAATACAGAGTTTTTGATGGTAGCATAGGCTTAAGAGATTCTTTCTCCACTTTTCTAGTCACAACCACTTGTTCCCCAGTGCTGCATTTATCAAAAAGGCAAGAAATAGGTGAAACTTTGGGAACTACTAATCAAATATAACTTTGTAACAGACTCTGAGCAAGACCTCATTCCACCATTTTCACACAGTACCAAAAAAAATGATGTATACTTTACCTTTTTCCTCTGTAGTCTGTTCAAGATGATGTCTCCTTTAAATTTTTTAATTGCATCAAAGTTTTTCTTGTTTTGAATAGTGGAAAAGCTTCCATGCAGTACAGGCAACTTGAGAAACTACAAACTGACTAATACATTGGTCTAGCATTTGGCAGAATAGTTCATGGATGAAAAAAAAAAACCCAAAACAGAAAGGTATGAAGGAGAGACAGAGAAATACTTCAGCAAAACACAGCTCATGTGCTAAACTTCTTGCATTGCTTGGACATCCTGGTGCCAAATCAGAAGTTAGCAGGTGACTTGTGAATTGTATAATAAAAAATAAAGTAATTAATTTCCATAGCAGGAAACACAAAATCCCAAGGCAAATATGCACAGCATGTGGTTTGCAAAGCAGTTGAAAAGACTGCAAGTGTCTGCCTACTTTCTGGTTAACTCCTTCAAATGGGCTGCATGGGTGTCCAGCTCATTGATCAAAAGATACCTGTTTTCTGACTGGCTGGGAAAATCACTGGAATATATAAACTTCACGATCAGAAAGCACGTAGATGTTGATTCTCTAAATAGGCCAAGCAGAATAAATATACTTCTCAGCAAAACTGCTTGTGAACACCCAGCAGCCAACAGTAGACTACGAAAAGGGCAGGACAAAACAAGAATGCGGACTCTGAGATAGGAAGCATATGTACAGGAGTTGACATAAGCAGGGGGAAAAAAAAGCACTGCCTGAAGAAACATTGAGGAAAAAATAACAAAAGATTTATTCTTGGAGTCTCTTAACTTCTGCATTGAAGGAGAAAGTGCTCCTTAGAAAAACATGGCCAGATAAGACACCTTAATTCTGCCTCTGCCATTGATTTTGCAGCCTTAATAAACTTCGCAATTTAAATCATAACTAAATCCTCATAAAACAGTTGCTACTGGATCACAAGGATCTAATAACTTCTAGAAAATGGAGAAGCACCAGTTATAGAACAGATTTCTTGTTTTGGATATTCAGAGGTTGGAAAGAGAAGATGGTCTTAAAGAATATCTTCTATATCGGTTGTTTTTTATGTAGTTAAATATACACTTACATAAACACACACAAATACATATGTACCAACCTTACTCATTTTCTAGATATACCTAAAAGAAGAAGTATAAGAGTCTTGAATTTTACCGGCAAAATCCAAAGCGCCTAACTACAAGTAGTTCAGGCAATGAAATGCAGAAGTGGTAACTGAACGTACTCTCAGGATTCATATGGTTATTAAGTTCTATATAGCACATAAATCAACATGCAAATCTATCCACAGATCAAGTCTCAAGTCACCTGGGCCAACTGAAATTTGTATATAGCACACAACACAGTTCATAACTCTTAGTCCTACTCTCTGGATAAAGCATTTTTACTTCCAGTCACAGAAATATTGAACTGAATCTTAACAGCAGAGAAGGCAGAATCTGTGCATTTTTGCTTTAGCAGTTTTATCTATTTAGATGATCACATGTTGGAAACAGGAATTTATACCTACTGAGATAAACTTATAATAAAAATTTTGGATGTCTATATTTAGCCAGCAAGCTTGCCCTAGCTCCAGTTACACACCAATCATTTTACTGATCACAGACACATATACAAGCACTCTGAATATATAGAAATCATAGAAGAAAGCTGAAACATTTGGAGTGAACTAAGGATAAAACCCCATCAACAAAAGCTCTTGATGTGATTATATTACTTGTGTATCAGCTATATTAAAAGAAATTTTTATAACAAGATTTCTGCAACTATATGAAATGCTACATAAACATCACAATATAGGCTAACTGAAGATTGTAAAACCTTTTGATGTTTTACTGATAAAAATAACATTCCAGTTAAGTTATTGCAAAAATGAACAGGTAAAAAAAATCTGCAATAAACACTGAAGAAATGCACTTTTTATAGAACACTGTTCTGCTTCATGACTTACAAAATGCTTAAACAGTCTATTTCTTGAGCTGAATCATGTTCTACTTTCAGTAACTAGCACAAAAGTCTTCTACCAAGATCTGTGTCAGTCTATCCTCTTACTAACAGGTAACTCAGTGAAACTGTCAGGACAAGATAAAGCAACTTCTCCCACATGCTGAGAATATAACAGTGTAAAATACACAATGCTGACCAAATGTGACTGTGCTAAGTGCACAGTGCTGCTTTAGGTACTCTACACCACATTAACTGCCATAAGGATTGGAAATATTCAAGTTCACTTATAACAAAACCACCACTTCCAGCTTTTAAAATAATAATTACTAAAATAATTGTATAGCACAGAACTTAAGGAAGTTCAATGATCAGTGGTATCCTTCGCAGTTAAGAGCTACAGTGGCATACTGTTAATTTTTTTCCTTCTTGAGGAAAAGCTTGGTTACTTGTTTTTAGTTCCATTAAATCTCAAGGTATGCATTATTGCCTGTAATACATGTGTTGTCATATACAAGGGAACTATCTTCAGTTGTATGTATGCTAGGAGAAAAAAACAATTTAATGCAGAGTTAACCCAATTTGATACTTTCCTGTTCCCAAAGATGAAGTAAGAGAAAACACTATTTTGCAGGACAGAATATAGTGCAGTGGAGATTTGGAAGAAAGAGATAAGTAATTTTTCTCCTTTTTCTTTGCCCTGTTTTAAAGGTCCTTTCCCACTTATTACTTTTTAATTACTATATTAACAGAATAATTTCATTATTGTCTAATACTGACATCAAGTGGCTCAAGAGAAAGTAGCTGACTTCAGTGACAAATGATACTCAAACTCTAGCAAGGATTTTATAGAAAAAGACAAGCATCTTATTTCAGACCCACATTACTTCCATTTCCCTTTTTTTGTTCTCTTAGATAAAGATTAATTCTCTATATGAACTACTGTGTAATAATAGTCTATACTGGAAAAGACCCCATTTAAATGTTGCTATTTTTGGTAGCCATCTTTTGGGTATTTCTCACACAGCAAGGTTCTGAAAGAATAAAAACAATGGCTGAGTCCTATATCACTAGGTTGACAGATCAGGCATAAATGTTGTGGTAAGGGAAAAAGTTCTTGACATTCACATTTCTGATGCATAGCTGCCTTGAGTTTTCCAACTGGCTGCAGTAGCATTTTTTACTTTCCTTATCATACGATCCAACTTCCAAGAAGCGAATGAATGCAGGATCACATTAACTGGAGGTGAAGCAAAGGTGCAATTGGCACTGATTATAAAGCCTTTCAGCAATGTTGAAGGGGATCATGATATATAGAGGCTCAAGAAATGTATGGTCTCACAGAGCAGTGAAGGGAATTAAGACAACTACAGGCTATCTTGTGAAAGCTTTCCTGTTTTGATTTTGTCATGGGAGGTAAATTTGGGGCATATGGGAGTTTATCATAGGCTGCAGTCATAGTGCTCCAGAAGCTTTGGTAGATCTTGTCACTTACAGAAGTCAGGTGAAGTTTCTGGCACCAGACTGAAGCAAACTGAAGTATTCCTGTCTAGCACTTCTTAATCTGTCAAGAGCTAAGGGAGCACAGAAATGGCTAAAAGATTCTTACACGGACTATAAAGTGCATCAGATAATGATCAAAAATTTGCAGTTCAAAGTAACATTCACCAAAAACTTAAGAAGAAAAAAATGTGGTATGAGTATATTAATCTTACAGATTATTATTAATTCACTTTCATCAATTCAGATAATTTGGAAATTGGTCATTTAGTCTACTTCCATTCAAAACAATGTCTACAGTGACACCTAGAGCTGGCATACTGCAGTTAGCTTAATACATTCTGTACCCAAACCCTATAGTTGTATTTCTGCACTGCTTTTGCCAAAATGAAACAGCCTGATGTTTTACACTACTTAGACTGATACATTAAAAATTATTACTCACTCATGTAATTGAACAGATTTATTTCTAAGGATGGTATATAATAAAAACAGTGATTTTAAAGTTGTCAGTCTGGATAAGCTGAAAAATAAAATACCATTTAACACTCGGTAAAATGGGCCTTCCTCAGAGGCCCTTGAAACTGAAATTTGTTTTCATTCAAGGACATGGTCCAACAAGAACAGGTGCAGCTTTCAGGAAGACATAGCAACATAAAGATAATGTTAATTCTGAAATTCTCATGTGGTACCAAAAATGAACAATTAAAAGAATCTAGAACCTTCAAGACAGAACAAGATGATATTTTCTACCAGCAATTAAGAGGCCATCTTTAGAAGCTGTTGTAATAAATTACTTTTAAAATACCAAACTTAAAAAAAATAAAAAGTGCCTA